TTGTAGTGAGATGGAGACATATATTTGGATCTGTGGTGGTACTCCTGAGGGCTCTGAGGCTGCATTTGAGGACAATCCTTGACATTTTGGAGAGAGTTTAGATTCACTTTTTTCTGTCCCTTCTTTTTAGTCTGTTGGATTTTCAGCCCCCTTGTGGGTCAGTGGTGAGTTTATGGACTCGCATTGCCGGGGTCTGGGGTTTGATTCTCTAGGGTGGACATGACAGGTGGCCTGCAGTTACTTTGCTCTGACAAAACAACGTACTTTACCACAGTCTTTAAATGACCTATGAAAAATGAAAGGAAGCCACCTTGGGATAAGCTGCCCTTGACTTGTTTTTCTTCTGTTGGTTCTTTGAGTGTGTGATGTTGTGGGCTTTTTCCCAGTTGCTTTTGAGCTTGCAACTTAATTAATGGCTGAAAGATCTGTGAGCAGATTTTTAGTCCATACATGGAAATTATGGTTCATGTTGGAAGGTTTACTTCTTAGTTACATGAAGGAACAGTTAGGCTTTATCCAACAAGTTGTTCGGAACTTCATGATTTTGCCTACCACCATGAGTTTGAAGCATTTTTCTGACTCTCAAATAATATCTGCTACTCAAATTTTGGTGTTCTAAGGCAGAATTTGTAGTTCTTCTATATAGTTCTATATCCCCTGATGGGACAGAGTAAGTCTACAAACTTCCAATTCAACTTCAACATTTTGTTTCTTTTCACTTCACTTTGTTAGAAGACTCTCAGGATCACCAGTTTCATTGAGGATGAGTTGGATTCATTGTTGACATGAATGTTGGTTCAATTTCTGACTTCTACCTTCCTCCCAGTTGTTGTTGGAGTCTCGAATTTCATCGGCTCCTACAGGGGGATCATAGTTCCGCCCCTGTTTGTGAGTACTGATCCCCTACATCAGCTCTTCGCTACATTGTTAGTCGGAATAGATTTTGTCTATATCCAAGATTTCCACTGCTTAGTTGGATAGCCAGCAGTGTCTATGATTATTGTATTCCTTCAAGAACTGTGGGGGGCTTGATTCCAAGAATTTCTGGACATGTGGTAATCTTAACCATCGTTCCAGAAGTTCTGTAGGTCCTTGGGTCATAGTTAGTTGTTCAGTTCATATCTTCCCCACAGTTATCCACCCAAACTCGTAGGGTTATCTGACTGGTTGGTCTGGGGATAGTGAGAGTGTCATGCAAGTTCTTCAGAGTTTTTATTCCTGTTAGTTGTTGGGCCTAGGAAGACAGGAGATTGGTGTCTAGTCATTGATCTACCTTGTTCATATCAGTACCTAGATTCTCTAAGGTTCACAAGTTATTCATTCGTCAATCTGTGTTGATTTTTTTACTGGGATTGTAGATGTCCAACTTGGTTATAGTGGCTCCTATATACACTTTGCCTTAGAGGTGAAGTCCCACCACTATCAGCATTTGTGGTGCACAAGGGTTAGGTACTGCAGTTATGGGTTTTTTCCTTCAATCTTGCATAGGCTTAACATGGGTTCTGCTGTATCATACGAGTTTTCTCGTCCTCTTCATTCCATCATACTGTACACACACACACACACACACACACACACACACACACACACACACACACACACACACACACACACACACACACTACTACTACTACTAGTAGATAGTACGTTACGTTACTACGTAGACTAATTATTCGTTAGTAGTTAGTTAACGTACTACTTACACACTCCGTCTTACTTACT